GCATTGACCATAAAACACTAACGACCATTACAAATGATGCGAGTACATACAATGCAGCCCTATATTTTTCTTGATAACATAAATTTTTTTGTTCTATATGCCATAGGAACAAAATGGTACCAAGGACGTTTAACTGTGGGGGGGGGGGTGCACGGTGACCCCCCCTCTAGGCCATGGCCTATAACGAGCAACAAATAATTTATAAACATCGTCTACTGTGTACAATTATACGGTGGCTGATTTCCGCCAAACCGCAAAAAAAAAAATTAAAAAAATTATTAGGGCGTTATAACGCCCTATTACGGCGTTATAACGCCCTAATACGGCGTTATAACGCCCTATTTAGGGCGTTATAACGCCCTAATTTGAAGTATATTTTGACCCAATTTTGACTCCATATTAGTAGATTATCCATAAATAAAAGCAGAGTTATATAGAATAGGGATACATGCAGTTGGGTATCTGGACCACTTGAAATGGGGGAAGCTAATTACAAATAATTTTGATGTTCCTAAAAAGAATAAATAATTGAAGCTGTATAATATAAAATTTTTATGTTTGTACAGTGTTTTGTAATTAAAATAATTGAATTGTAATTAATAATAGATAATTATAGTAATTAATAATTGAAGCTGAATAATTTAAAATTTTGATGTTTGTACAGTGCTTTGTAATTAAAATAATTAAATTGTAATTAATTGTAGATATTTAAAGTAATTAATTTTATCTTTTGCGATATTTTTTTTTTCTTGCAATTTTATTTCTTTTTTTTTAATTTTTTGTTCTCGTCTCTAAAAGAATAAATTGAAGTCAATTAAAAATTTGTTGATGTTCGTAATGTACAGTTTTTTGTAAGTTACATAATTAAATAATTTAAAATAGATAATTTTAGTAATCATTAACAATTGTAATTTAATAATTTAATTTTTATTGGCTTTTGCAATGATTGTGATTTTAATGCAATAACTGTTTTATCTCGATGTTGAATTTTATATTGATGTCTGTGCTGTCCTCATTTGGCTTGATGTTTTTGATTGTATTTTTCAATTTTAGTACTGCTTTTATGCTGCAATCAACACTTGTATGATTGCAATAAAGATTGATTTGATTTGATGGAGGAGAGGGACCAGAGTGGCGCGAAGCAGTGGCGGCTTTAGGATATAATTTATGGGGGTCAAAGATGTCCGACGGGGGGGGGGGCTAAGTATTTATGGATGTAA